TACTACCTACTACTACTTACTAATATTACTAGTATGTTTAGTATTACTACTACTACTACTACTACTACTACTACTACTACTACTACTACTACTACTACTACTACTACTACTTACTACTTATTACTTACTACTTACTACTTACGACTACTTACTACTACTACTACTACTACTACTACTACTACTACTACTACCCTCTGCTACTACTACTACTACTTACTACTACTACTACTACTACTACGACTACTACTACTACTACTACTACTATAGTACTACTACTACTACTACTACTACTACTACTACTACTACTACTACTACTACTACTACTACTACTATCTGCCCTCCTCTTCCTCCTTCTCCGCCTCCTCCTCCATCTCGCCCTCCTCCTCCTCGCCCTCCTCCTCTCTCCTCCTACCTCCCCCCTCCTCCGCCTGCCTCCCTCTCCTTCTCAGATTCCTGCTCCTTCCCTCCTCCCCCTCCTCCTCCTTCTTCTCCTCCTCCTCCTCCTCCTCCTCCGTTCTCAGTCTCCTCCTCCCCCGTACCCCTTCCCACAGGAGGGAGGCCCTTGGCCACACGCACAAGGCCGACAACGTATTGTACTTTGCCTTCTCGCAGCTTCGCTTCCGATGGGCCTCCGAGGCTTCAAGATGACCTCCAGGTGGCCCAAGATAGCCCCAAGAACAGCCCAGTAGGACCCCTCGACGGCCCCAAGAGCGCCCAAGGGCAAAAAGAGCGTACCAAGAGCTCCTCCGTCCTGCTCCTCCATTCACATCCTCCCTCCTTCTCATCCTCCTGCTTCACCTCCCCCTCCTCCCCATTCTCGTCCTCCTCATCCTCCTCCCCGCACCCCATCATTGTGGACGTGCTTGGCACATGTTGGACCTCCGGCTCCTCATCAATTCTGAGAGGCTTCTCATACGCATCATCATCAGCATCATCGTTATCATCATCATCAGCATCATCATCATCTGCATCATTACCACAAGCAACAGCATCAGCAGCAGCAACATCATCATCATCATCATCATTACCATCATCATCATCATCATCATCATCATCATCATCATCATCATCGTCATCGTCATCGTCATCGTCATCGTCATCACCACCATCATCATCATCATCAGCATCATCAGCATCAGTAGCATCACCATCAGCATCGTAACCATCATGATCATCATCAGCATCCTCATGATTATCATCCTCATCATGCTCACCCTCATCATCATCACCACCACCACCATCGGCATGGCCATCATCTACACCATCATCATCAGCATTATGGTCACCATCATCACCACCATCTTCACCATCACAATCACCAGCATCGCCCACCATCATCATAACCATCATGTTCATCCTCCGCCTCCTCGTCACTATCATCATCATCACCATCATAATTATCAGCTTCATCAACATCATCATCACCACCACCACAATCGTCATCACCACCATCATCATTATCACCGCCATCATCAGGCCATCAAGATGTCATCAGCATCATCACCCACGAGATCAGCAGCATGATCATACTGACCCTCAACACCATCATCATCATATTGATCCTCATCTTCTTCATCAGCATCATCTTCACCATCACCAACATCATCATCAACATCATCAGCACCACCACCACCATCATCATCAACAACGTAATCAACATCATCATCATCATCAGCATCATCATCAGCATCATCATCATCGTCACCGTGATCATCGCCATCACCGTTATCGTCAGGATCTCCAGCATCAGCATCAGCATCAACTGCTCCTGGTCTTCCTCCTCCACCTCCTAAACACTTCCTCCTCCTCCTCGTCCGCCCTCCGACCTCCTACCTCGGACCACCTGGTCCTGGTCCTGCTCCTCCTCCTCGTCCTCCTCCTCCTCCTGGTCCTCCTACTCCTCCTCCTCATAATAATAATCTGCTCCGCGCCCTCATTCTACCTCCCCCTTCTCCTCCTAATCCTATTCCGGCTCCTTCCGGTCCTCCTCCTCCCCGTCCTACCTGGAGATTATCTCATCATCAGCATGATCAGCATCATCATCATCATCATCATCATCATCATCATCATCATCATCATCATCATCATCATCATCATCATCGTCATCACCATCATCATCATCAGCATCATCATCACCATCACCATCACCATCACCATCATCATCATCATCATCATCATCATCATCATCATCATCAGTATCGTCACCATCACCATCGCCATCATCATCGCACTATTCATCTTAATTGTCACCATCATCACCATCATCATCACCATCATCATCACCATCCTAATCGTCACAATCACCGTCACCATCATCGTCCGCATCATCGCCATCATCATCATCATCATCATCATCATCATCAACAACACCATCATCCACATAATCGTCATCATCACGACCACTGCCATCATCACAACCGTCATCGTCATCGCCACCATCATAGTCATCATCATCAATACCATCACAGATGAACCAAAGAGGTTACCACACCGGCCAGGTTGGCCATTACACGGGCTAGTCGAAAGTGATGAAAAGCATTGGGAATCCAGAATTCCAATGTCCAGCCTTCTGTGTGCCCAAAAGCATTCTCCGCCTCACAACCACCAGCACTGCAGCTTGTTTCCCTCGACGCCCCCGGCCGGTGATAGGCCCACTTGGCCAGTGAAACCGCGCGGACAGGCGGATTTTGGGCGAAAAATTGAAAATAGTCAAAAAATGATCCCAAATGGCCATAAATAGTCAAAAAGTCGTCCCGAGACTACTTTTTCCCTATGTTTGAGTGTTCCTCCTGTAGGGGGACAGGCCCGACTTGAGTGTGGACACCATTTGGCCGGCGTATGGCAGACCCACTGGGCCAGTGCAGGCCCGGCAGCGCGGGGTGGCGGCGTGGCAGAACGGGGGGCCGCCTCGCCGAACGCGGCCAGCGCCTCGACCGCCCACAGCCTCGGTCCGCCGCCGGACCCCTCCCGCAGAGATGCAACGTCTTGAAGAAATCAAGACGGAGGGTTTTCGCCGTTGTCGGCCTCTGGGGGCCCTCACCGGGCCCCGGGGCCGTCAAAAAGCGTCTCGGGATGAAAAACAGGTCCGGGGCATGGGTCGAGCCTTCTGGGGACCCCGCCTTGAAAAAAACACGACGCAGGATCCCTGGGCCCTTCGTCGCCTCCCCAGGCCACACGCCTGCGCCTCGAGGGGGGAGCGCCTGCACCCTCTCCCGTGCGGGCGCGGGCTCTCCGCGGGGGGAAGGGGGGGGGTGCGGGCGCCGAGGCGGGTGCGCAGGAGGCGTGCGGAGGAGGAATGGAGGGGGGAGGGGATGGAGAGGGGGGATGGGGGAGGTGGTGCGACAGGTGGCGTGTGGGAGGGAGGGGAGGAGGGAGAAGAGGGGAGGGGGTGCGAGATAAGAAATGGGGGAAACAGACAGAGATAGAGAGAGAGAGAGAGAAAGAAAGAAAGAAAGAGAAAGAGAGAGAGAGAGAGAGAAGGAAACAAAAAACAGAGGAAAACAGAAAGACGTAAACAACCAACAAGTGGCCACAATGACTGCGGCTGCAACAGGGCGGCCCGCGAAACGCACCGAAGCGTGCGCGCGAGAGGAGATGTCACGTCAACGGCGCGTGACGTTTGCGCGGCCTCCGTCAGGTGAATGAGTGGACCTGCTGCGTGTTCACTTGGCCCATCTATCCGTAGGCAATCCTCGAATCTCACGCATCATGCTCCTGCACGGAGCCATGCGGATATCATCTGTGACGAACGAACATACCAGTTTCATCGCCACGACTCGAACTGGGAATTCAGGAGGAGGCGTGGCGTCTTGCATGACGTGAGCACTGTGCTTGCGTTGCCTTGATGGCTTGCTGAGGAACACAATCACCACACTCCATCGATGCTTGTGGCCAGGCATCAGACATTAGAAGGGGAACAAGCGACAGAAGGGAAAGGGGACTGCAAGAGGATCGGAAGGGAGATAAGAGAAGAGTGTTGGTAATGGGCAGGAAAGGATTAGGGCAGGGGGTGAGAGCAGAGCCAGAGAGACCGAGAGGATAAGGAGGGGCTGGGAGGATCAAGAGGCCAGGAGAGGGATCCAGGGAGGACGAGGTGATGTAAAGGATCGGGGTAGGGAGTACGACCGTGGAGTAGGCGGCACGGGCACCGCCCTGCCAGGCAGAAGCACAGATACCCCCCCCCCCGAAAAGAGGACGGCCCCGCCCGTGCGGGCCTCGTGGCACAAAAGGACGCCACACCCCGCACGCGAGCCTCCCCGGAGACGCCGAGGCCACGTGGGGCCGGGGCCACCCGTGCTGCCATGCGGCCAAAATCCAGCGGCGGACCCGCTGGCGGTGGCCGCGCGGCTCCGCCGCCCACGGGACCGAGCGGGCGCCGCCGGGTGCGGCAGGCGCAACCACGGAACAATGGCAGGCTCGGCCTGGCCCTTCGTTCCGAGGCGGCCCCGGCCCCCGGACCTCGGTCGCCCCCAGCCTTAGGTCGGGCATGTCCCCCTACAGGTGGATTTCGGGGGAAATATTTAAGACATACATGAACAATATCCAAAAATAGTCAAACATGTTGAAAAATCGCTCCCAGGCTACATTCTGAGTGTTTCTGGATATTCCTCGTGTAGACGGGCAGGCCCGACCTAACCCCAGCCCTCGGTCTCGAACCGGCCCTGGCCGCGGCTGCCCGGCCCCACGGCCCGTGGCCCCCGAGGACCGAGGGCGCGCCGCGGATGATGGCAGGCTTGGCCCGGCCCCCCCAGGGCGGCTCACGGCCCCAGGAAGCCTCAGACGCCGCGGCAGTGCCGCGGCGCGATCCCCCCCCACGCAGCTCTCGGCCACAGCCTCGCGGCCGGCCTGTCGCCGCGGGCCGCCTCCTTGATGGCCCCGGGCGGGGGGAGGGCGACGGGGAGGGTCTGCCTACAGGCAACCGCATGTGCGCGCGGGCCTCGATTCTCGACGTCGGTTTCGGGGCGAGAGCGGGGGCCACGAGGGTTCGCGGGCCCCCTTACGGGGTTTCAGATCTGGCCCGCATCTTCAGAACGCCAGTCGCAGCATCCGTTTCGTGGTTTCAGTCGGCCGATATGTCGGCTGGAGCCCGTGGGAACCCCACCCCCAAGTCGGTTGGGGCTCAGAATCCGATGGATGTCTGCAGCCAAGAAAAAGAATGTCCGATAACCCAGCGGCGATGGGACCCGCAGGGGTGGGGTTCACCAGTGCTCGCAAGCTGCTGGAGCCGCTTCTCCGTGCGACATCGTGAGGCGCCCCTCCGACTTCACAGGTGGAACTTCCCAGCTGTAGTCTGGGGCCCCGGCTGGATTGCACCAGCGCAGCCTCGGAGACTTCAGAGGAGGGCTGCGCGTGCCAGCCGTGCAATTCTGCACGTGCCTGGCACGCGAGTTGTGGGGGGGGCAGGGAGGAGGAGGAGGAGGAGGAGGAGGAGGAGGAGGAGGAGGAGGAGGAGGAGGAGGACGAGGAGGAGGAGGAGGAGGCGGAGGACGAGGAGGAGGAGGAAAGAGGAAAGAGGAGGAGGAAAGAGGAGGGGAAGAGAAGGAGGAAGAAGAGGGAGGACGCCGCAGAGCCATCGCCACCGCCGCGGCCGACTTGGACGTCCCAGGGCAACCGCACGTCCGCGTCCTGGTCCCTCAGCAACTGCGCGAGCCCCAGCAGCCCGGCGGCCGCCGGGCGCCCGAGGGCACCCAGCGCCTGGATGACGCGGTAGCAGACGTACTTGCTGTCGTGGCCTCGGCCGGGGCTGCCCCAGACTTGCCAAGACTACGTCAGACCACATCAGACTGCATCAGACCAGCCACGGACAGCTGTGTTGAAACGCAGTCGATATACCATTCAGATATCTCGGCCGTCGCGGACAAGGCATTGCAGTCTCCTGTCACGCCCTTGGCCGAAGGGATGAGACTGAAACCTGCCTGGAGGGGACAACCCGGGGCTGCCGCGGCCGACGCCGACGTGGCCGTGCAGGTACTCTTCAGCGGGGGTGCCGTGGGCGGTGGCAGGCATGCAGGGCCCGTGTGCAGAAACCCACCCGTCGTGGCCTGGGTGCAGAAACCCACACCTCCCGTACACCCGAAGGCGTTCTGTTTTTTTCGTTCGCGACAACGGCCGCCACCGGCCCCGGCCGCCCCCCCCTCCCCCCCGGGTGCTGCCTCTGTCCTCGCCCGGGGATAAAAAAAGCAGGGGCCAGGAAGGGCCAGACGTACGGCAAAGTGCATGCAATCCTCGACCTGTGCTACCCCTGCAGCCTCTCCTGTGTCTGCGGGGCTGGGCTGGCATGGTTCGCCTGCCGGCTCGGTGCCCGATGCCGCACGCTCGAGAAGTGCGCAGCACGGCCAACGGGAGAACCGCCGAGGGGCAGCGAGCACACTGGCTCCATCCAGGCAGCCGGGCGGTCTCCGCTCGAGCCCGAGGACCCCCGCCCTGGCTTCGGCACGCGGCCTCCACGGGAATGCCGGGCCAAACGGCACCGCCACTCCGGAGGAAACGCACGAACACTAGCGCAGCGGACGCCACTGCAGCAGGAACGAGCTCAGACCAACCTGGAAGATGATGCAGGTAGAGTCGGGGCGTTGACCAAAGGAACGATAAATAAGGAACGAAACCCCTTTCTCCCCAACTAAGCCCATGAAGTCTGAAGGAACGCCAGGGGGGCTCGCAACCAAAAAAGGAACGGAACCTATGCAAACCCAAGGAACGTCCGAGCCCCCTTCGAAAAGGTAGGTGGACCTTATTCAACGCCACGACTGTAGAGGCCTCACAAATGGGGTCCGAACAGATGGGATCGGATGATCGCACTGCATCGGCGATGCATCTTCGATGCATCGGCGATGCACAGGCGACGTCGGCGATGCATCGGCGCCGTCGGCGTGGAGAGAGTTGGGCTCCACATCGAGCCGCAGCGCCGATGTATCGGCGATGTGGCGGAATCATCCGATCCCATCTGTCCCGACCCAATCTGAGAGGCCCAGAGCAGAAGAGTTGAGCCGAGACCCCGAAAGACTTCCGTGCCGCATGACGCCGCCTCGCCTGGACCGCTGGAAAAGACGGCGGGCTATCCCGTCCCCGCACGCTGCGTCTCAGTCCTTGCCATTAGAGGAAAGAGAACTATACACATACACCGATTCTGGCCAGGACCATCCTGAGCCCAGGATCGTTGCATACGCCCTCTTACCTTGGCCAGGAAGGTATATGCACCGATCCTGGGTCAAAGATGGGCGTTGTCAGGATCGGTGCATGTGCATTGTTCTCTTCGCCCGAGCCATGGTGCCCCTCGCCGGAAGACGTGACACCATGTGACCAGGTGCTCCCGGGAGGGGAGGGATGAGAAGGAGGGGCAGGACGAGGAAAGGAGAAGGGAAGAGCAGAAGGGGAGGATCGGGAGGGAGGGCGAGCGGGAGAGAAAAGCATCACTTCGCGCTTCGCAATGCAATATGCAAGCGAAGCTTTCGAATGCGCACGCTAACCCTCATGGTTCTTCTGGCTCAGAGGGAGGAGGGAAGGGTGATCGATTTTTTCGTAAGTCGACCCCCAGAGATCTCGACCCATTCCCCAGGACCGGTTTCTCATCCTGAGTCGTTTCTTGATGGCCCCGAGGCCCGGGAAGGGCCCCCAGATGCCGACCGTAGCGAAAGCCTCCCGTCGTGATTTCTTGTCATGGCTCGAGGGGGGGGCCCAAGAATATACACCACCACCACCACCACCTCCCTCACCCCCTCCCTCTCCCAGGAAAGAAGAAGAAGAAGGGAAGATGAGGGTACAGTCGGGCCGCTGAAAGAAGGAACGCAAAATAAGCAACGAAGCCCCTGTTTGGCCCGAAAAGCGCCTCCGTGCCCGAGGAGGGCGAGAGGGACAGCAATGGAGGAAACTGGGGAACATCGTGCCCCTTCCGAACCCAAACAGTTCCTTATTTCAGCGTCTTGACTGTAGAGGATCGACGTGGTGGTGGTGTATATTCTTTGGGCCCCCATCGAGGGGGTCTGGGAGGCGGCAGGGAAGGGTGCTCGAGGGCTCTGAGCGCTTCCCCCTGGCCCTTCTCGGGGCCCTCGGGCCGGGAGGCCTCACCGCGAAGACCTCCGGGGGGGCTCCTCTGGGGGCCCTGGGCCGCCTCCGGCTGGGGGGGATTACCCTGACCTTCCGGGAGGGCTAAAAAGTAGCTCCAAGACGTCGAGGTGCTAATTCCTGTCGAGGTTTGAGGCAATCCGGGTAGGGTTACAGGTCTGGAGTGCTATTTTAGGGCACTCTGGAGGGTCAGGGTAGGTGGCGGCATCGGGGGCGTCGAAGCAGGGGGGGCGTCCAAGCGGGGGGGTGCAGATCCTGGGCCGAGGCACGCGCTGAGCTGAGAGAGGGGAGGAGCATGGAATCTGGGGGGATCTTTTCGCCCCCAGCCCGGCCATGACCCCCCCTCTCCCTGTAGTCAACACTGTAGTCATCACCCCCTTTCTGGCCGCCCCCGGCCCTGGCCGCGCCGGCCCCTCCTGGGTGGCGAGATTCGAACCCTACCCCCACCAACCATCGATTCTCCTGAGGCGATGGAAGCGGGGGGCAGGCTTCGGATGTCGCCGAGAGGATGGGGTCGGGAAGATAGTGGACACGACTCACGCCTCCGCAATGAGCACTTCCAACGCACGCGGCAATAACGTGATCATCTCTCCCAAACTCCCCTCCTCCCAGCCCGATAGCTGTCTTTCTGCTCCACGCTCCAGCGCGCGCGCCGCCCCTCCCGGAGAAGGGCAGCGCTCGGGGCCCGGCCGCGGAGCGTGATCCTCGGCGCCCGCCCCCAGTGCGAGCGACCCGGGGACCGCGGCCGCCTCGTCGTGGGAGGGCCGCGCGCGAGCCCCTGGAGAGGGGCAGCGCTCCGGGGCCCAGACGGCCAGGCCCGAAGCGCGGCCACACTTGCGCCCCCGCGGGTGCTCGCCGAAGGGAGGAGGTGGGGAGGGTTGTGGGGAGGATTGCTCGTCCATCGGGGAACACAAAGTGGCATAAACATAAAACGTAAAAACTCCAAGGTCCGCGCGGACTTCTCGGATCGGCGCTGGGGCCCCCCGGCGGCGCCTCCGGCGCCGCCCCTGGCGCGCTCCGCGCGCCAGGGAGGGGGTCCAGCGCCGATCCGAGAAATCCGCGCGGACCTCCGAGGATTTATGTTAGTGTCACTTTTTGTTCCCCTAGTCCATCAACTCACGGGGCTCGCCGAGTCGTGGCCGTTTGGTTCCAGGGTTGCGGAATCCTGGCGTCGCCGCCTCGACCGTCCTCTTGCGGCTCGTGGTCGTCGTGGCCCGAGGAGTGTGGCTCACGAGGTCGCAACATCGGTGCAGTGCTGACCTGCGCGCGAAGCTCCGCTGCGTCGTCCATCTAAGCGCTGAGCTACTCCGCTGCGCCGTCCATCTAAGCGCTGAGCTACACGGATGATCAGCTCGAGAACGGATTCGGCGCGCGCACGGTGGAAAGCAATGACCCTGCCCAGCCGTCACGCTCGAGTCCCGCCCTGGCTGCCCCTGGCGCAGTACCCAAAAGGGCGTGCTCTGGAGACAGCTTCCAGGAATCAGGCACCAATCTGACCCCATCGAGGAATCTACAATCTCAGAGGAAGAAGCGGTACCAATACCGCTACCCTCGCCTCGTTTTCGCCGTTGGATGCTTTCTGGGAGGCCCTCGTCGCCACCGCTGGATTCGCATTGTAATCCTGGTCAGAACGCACCCTTGGAAAGGTCTGGGGAGTAGCGACATCGGTACCTCCAGATTTCCCCAACAGTTCAGCAGAAGGGTCAGAAACCGGACCCCGAAGTGACACATGCAGCCAGACTGGCTGGCAACCTGTCTGGGATGGACATACTAGTACTGTGTGTCTTCCTTGGAGGCGTGCGCCCGAACCGAACATCTGGCACAAACACATTACAATATACCGTTTCCCGAGCGGTCTGGCCAGAAAGCGTCCGCAACGAACTTTCCACGGTAAGATTTCTCGGCGCGCGCGCTCGCCCGCGAAGCAGCACTTCTCACAGCTGCGCGTCGAGCCGTGCTCCGCGGTCCCTGGCAGGCTCACGATGTTTGGGACTTCTCCTTGCATCACCAGAGTTCCAGGCGCCTGGAAGTCTGGGCCTTGAGAATGACATGGAGGGAGAGGCGGGGCGAGGAGAAGGCGGATGGTGGCTCCATCTTCGGAGGAGGAAAAGGTACCCATACCGCTCCGCTACCCGTCGCGCCGCGTCCCCCTTGTTAAACCTCCTGAGAGGCCATCGTCGCCACCGCTGGATTCGCCTCGAAATCCCGGTCTGAACGCACCCTAGGAGAGGTCCGTGCAGTGGCGGTATCGGTACTTTTTGGTCCCCAAGATAGCGGGCCAAGGGAACGGAAGCATGATGGGGTGGCGAACCCCCCCCCCCGTCTCGTGACCAGGGCAGCTCTGAGTGCGTGGCAGAAGAAACGCGACCACTCCGCCAGCCTCGAGGATTCCAAACCCTTGCCTCTGCTACATGCCTGCTGCCTCCGCCATCCTTCCCCTCGGGGCCTGGCTGCCTTGCCTCCGCTGCATGCTTGCTGCCTCCGCCATCCTTCCCCCCGGGGCCCGGCTGCTAGGGGCATACACACGCACCGTCTGTGCCTCTGCGTGCGAACATGCGCCCAGTTGCGCGGCGTAAAGTGAATACAGTGCAAATCGGCAGAAATGCCTGGCGATATCGGTCGTGACCTCGCGTGCAGTCTCCAAATGGAGCAGATCAAGGCGATGGCGAACCACTCACGCGAGTTCGCGTACGTTGGATTGTCCTGGGCCTTCTCCCAACTACTTCTTACGAGAACGCTGTGGGCAAGCGGTGACCGCGAAACGTCTTCAACACTCAGCCCGCATGACGTTGGCGTGCCTCGCTGGAACATCCACTTTTCTCACAGCAGGTCGAAGGGAGTCCGACGTGAGCAAAGTCGAGAAGCAGATTGGTGCACCCGGGGCCGCTTTCGTACCCCATGGGAGCGATGAGGCGCACAGGAAGCCTGAGCATCAGCAGCAGCAAGGGCAGCAAGGGCCCCGAACATACGAGCAGCGAGCACCAGAGCAGCGAGGAAGCCCTGCGGCGACGTGCCAAGCAGCTGTGCTGCACTAGGGGAACGAACAATGACATAAACATACAAACTCGGAGGTCCGCGCGGCTCTCCTATCCGCGCTGGACCCCTGGCGCGCTCCGTGCGCCAGGGAGGGGGGTCCAGCACCGATCCGAGGAATCCGCGCGGACCTCCGAGTTTTTATGTTCATGTCATTCTTCGTTCCCCTGGTGCACACCTCCTCTCCCCCTCCCCCTGCCACCACCCCTCCGGGCGAGCTCCTGCGTCGACGACGTGGGCACCCTGCCGCCGCGCGGCCCGCTCCCCCGGGCACGGCCTCCGCTGCCAGCCGCCGCCCGAGGCGGTCGGCCCCGCCTCCCGCAGGGGCTGCGCGCAAACGGGCCCTGCACTCTGCGGCCCCCGGGGCCCGAGCAGGCCCAGCACGCCGCCCCTGCCCCTGGGCGGGGCGATCCGCCCGGGAACCGCCCGCGCTGGCGCCGCCGCCACGTCAAGGCGGCGACGAGCCCAGGGCCGCAACACGACCCTTCTGACCAGAGCCTGGCCCGAGGCACGCACTGAGCTGAGAGGAGAGGGGCATGGAGTCTGGGGGGATCTCATCGCCCCGGCCATGATGTCTTGACGTTGGACAAACGTTGGCTTGCTAGAGCCATCACGTCTTGGTGGCAGCGATGCAAGACAGGTGGGAGCATCAGAGATTCAAGTGTATGCTTCGGCGCCTGGGTGTGGCAAGGACGACTCCCCACCTCCTCATCTATACCCCTCCCAACGGCCATGACACAACCCCCCCTAATTTAATCATCACCCCCTTCTTGGCCGCCCCCGGCCCTCCCCGCGCCGACCCCCTCTTGGGTGGTGACGAGGCCCGTGCCTAAATCGTTGGTCGGCGAGGGTATCTGACGAGGCCAGGACGAAGGTAAGATCGGGTGAGGATAGATCGAGAATCTCTGAGATCTGGCGGCTCTGGAAGATGTCTCGGGTGCCACGGCCTTCTCAGAGCGCGCCGGAGCGCTCTGAGAGCGTTCCGGAACGCTCTGGAACGGACTTCTCCTCGTCCCAGCCACGCCTGGGAATAGGGTGCGGATTTCGCCGCCGACCCCTCCCTCGTCATCGCTCGGACGTCCATTCCCTTTGCGTTGTTTCGATTTCTCGCGTGATTTCCTTTAGATGATCCAGGATACTCCTCGATGGTCCTCGCCGAGGGAAAAAGCACACGCCCGAGCGATGCCAAGCTCCGCTGGCCCTGGCCGCCTCCCTGCCCTCTCCGCCTCACCCCCGCCCGCGGCTGCGCGTCTTGGAGGCGGGCAGCCTCACCGAGCCCAGCGCGCCCGCCCGCTCCAGGGCCTGGGATGCGGAGCTCGGCGGCAGCGGCTCGCGCCGGAGGAGGGGGAGGAGGAGGAGGAGGAGGAGGAGGAGGAGGAGGAGGAGGAGGAGGAGGAGGAGGAGTCCAGGAGGAGTCCAGGAGGAGTCCAGGAGGAGTCCAGGAGGAGTCCAGGAGGAGGAGGAGGAAGAGGAGGAGAAAGAGGAGGAGGAGGAGAAGAAGGAGGAGGAGGAGAAGGGGCCCTCGTCCAGTGACCGCAACCGACCTGTGCTGGCGGCCGCGGCCGCTGGAGGAACAACTACAAGAAGCTGACGACGACTATGCACGATCGCTGCAAACGGACTGCCTTTCCGCAGCGAAAAATCATCGCGTCGGAGATGGATCCACTTAGGTGATTTCGGGGTAACCCCGGACCCCAAAACGTTTTCATCCCTTGAGGGTACATCTTTTACTTCCGCCGCATTCCGCCAACCTTCCGCAGGCTTCCGCCGGCTTCCACTGGCGGAGGCGGCCTCCTTTTACACTTCCGCCGACCGTCCGCCGCCCCTCCGCCGCCTGCGGCCGAGGAAAAGCTGACAGCTCCTTCGATCCTCGAAAGCAAAGCCTTTTTTGGAACGCCTCATTTGAGCACGCGCTGCTCTGCGCAGGACTCCGAAGCACACCAGCTGCAGGCTTAAGGCACTGAACAGTCACGATTGCAGCACGATGGCATAGGGGGGGAAGGGCAGGCGAGCCCAGAATCGAACCGACAAGTCGAACCAGCGATGGAAACGAATCGGGTCGACGGAGATCGGCAACCAAGCCGGGAGAAGTCGGAGCGGTGGAAGTCGGCACGCTGCAAGCTGGGAAGGCCCCCGCTGAGATATCGAGATCCGAATCGGAAACACAGGCCGAATCGAGTCCGAATCGGAATCGGAATCAGAATCGGAATCGATCGACATCGAATCCAATCGAGCCGGAGAAGTCGAAGAAAAGGGGGCGGGAGGGGGGGCCCGGCTTCGGGGCCCAGCCTCGGGGCGGCTCGGCCCTGCCAAGACTTGCCCTGGACCCTCGAGGGCCGAGATGGGAGGTGCTCGGACGGACGTGCTTGGCGCTCCCCACGGGCCTCGGGAGGCCTCCAGAGTTAGGGTCAGGCATGTCCTCCTACAGGCGGATGTTGTGGGGAAGTTGAAAAATAGTCCAAATATGCTCAAACATAGGCCAACAATACTTGACACATCGCGCCCAGATCATTTTTGGACTGTTCCTGAATAGTCCTCCTGTAATGGCACATGCCCGACTTCGCTCCGGAGGCGCGGCACGTCCTCGAGGCTCCCCCGGAGACCTCTGACCTCTGGGCGGCCAGGATGCGGGGCGGCAGCGCAACTCACCGCTCGGATCTGTCCTGTGGCGGCCCGAGGAGGGCCAGGAGCTGGCCAGGCACATGGCAGAACGCCCCCCCCCACCCGGCCTTGGGCCTCCTCCGGCGACTGGACGGGGCGCCCGAAGCGTGCGCAAGCGGGCGGACGGAAGAGAGAAGGCACGAGCGAGAGAGGGAGAAGGGCGAGCGAGTGGAGCGAAGAGACGCAGAATATCTAGGCATGCGTGCGTAGAGAAAGAGGTAGGGACAGAGAGAGAGAGAGAGAGAGAGAACGAAATAAAGAAACAGCAGAGAGCGACAGAGAACGAACTAGTGCTGAGAGGCAGACACACCTGAAAAAGAGGGCAGGACGGATCAGCGTGATGAAAGGATCTGTGTGGGGGGGGGACAACGGCTTCGTCAGAGACGACCAATCATGGACCACGGCCCGTCAGCACCACTCTGGTCAGGCTCCGGGCCTCGAGCGCCTTGAGGCGCACGTCGCCGTCCTCGTCCCCGAGCGCAGCCCTGCGCGCGCGCGTCGCGCGGGAACGGGCGGCTGCACACGGCCGGCACATGCCCAGCACTCTGTTGTTCCCATCGTACTTCAGGACCACATCCCACAACTAATCTCGAGCACCCGAAAAAGTGTCGAAAGAGTGTCGAAAGAATGTCGAAACAGTGTCTCCCAGGGCCCGACACGTGAAAACCCTCGAGTTCTTGGGGTGCGCTCGAAATTCTTTCTGGTGATCAAGGCTAAAGTAAGTTGGAGCATCACAAGCCCAGCACCCAGCTGCTTGGAGATTTCAGGGTTGCGGCAGCCTTCGGGAGGCCGCCAAGCAGAAGATTGGCCGCGGTGCCATACGATGTGGGCTCTGCGTTCCAGTCTGCACACGTCGCCGAGGCGTCTCCGTTATGATTATTGTCCTGCCCTCTCCCGTCTGCTCTTCCTCCTGCTGTTCCTCCTCCCCCCTTTCCTTCTCCTCCTTGCAACTCATACCGCCTCCTCCTCCTCCTCCTCCTCACCCTTCTCCTCCTCCTCCTCCTCCTCCTCCTCCTCCTCCTCCCCTCCTCCTCCTCCTCCTCCTCCTCCTCCTCCTCCTCCCCCACCTCCTCCTCCTCCTCCCTCCTCCTCCTCCTCCTCCTCCTCCTCTCCTCTGTTCAACTCCTGTTCAACTCCTGCTCCCTCATCCTCAGTGGCCTGCGTAGTCACATCTCCCTCTGCTGCTTCGTCCCAGCAGGTCAACCAATCGCCGTGCGGAAGTCGTCCCAAATGGCCAGTGCTCCCATGGAGACAGCCAAACACTGTTTGAGACGCGCGGCAAAAGTGAGACTGTAAGCCCAGGTAAGACAGAAGTGCGTGCGGGCCCTTCCCTTGGGCCTCATACATGACCAGCACCGGCGCCCTGGGGCCTCCCAAGTTGTGGCCCTTCCCTTGGGCCTCCCAAGTTGTTGGATAATCGATCGGTGATTCAGGCAGCGTCCATTTGAAATGAATGTGTAAATATACCGAGACGTCTGGGTGATAATGTAGAGGCCAGGCAATAGATAAGTGGGTATGTGTTTTGTTCGTGTAAGTGCGAGTGCATTTGGGAGACATTTGTTGGCGTCCAGTTAGGAAACATGCCGTGGCGTCTAGCTAGAATGACTGAGCTTGAGTCTACATGCCAGCCCGAGGTGCTGCCCAGGCAAGCGCCAAGAGGCCCGCATCGCATCCAGCGCTCCCAGGGAGGTGCTTCCATACATCAGAGACAAAGCAAGATATCCCATTACATCAACTCACGCATCGAACGGTGTGCCTCCTAGCCCTCTCGTTTGATATATTGCCAGCGGGTGGCCGACGGCGGCCAGAGGCGTGCCAAAGGGCAGTCGGCTAAGCCGCTCCGGTGCTGGCCGAGGACGGCCGGCAACGGCTGCTCCAGGCGGGCCCCTACGACTCCCGGTGTTTTGTCCGACGCGACAGGCAGAAGAGCATTCCAGGACTCCGAGATAGTCGGATGGAGACGCCTAGGAAGCAATAGCCACCGACTGGAGGGGACACGCCGGAGGGAGCAAGACCCTTCTGAGGGCAGCATTGCCAATAGGAGTGTAGGAGGCATGGGTCGCGCAACACAGGACACACTTGCATCCTTGATGTGGCAAAGTCGACCTACCAGTCAAACCCGACTGCAACATCGAAAACAACTGGCGTCGACACTGTTGACTCCTGCTCGGACTCGCAACCGCGAGGCCCTCGGAGCGCACAGGAGGGCAACTATTTCGAAGCGACTGGTGACGACGACGGCTGTCCGAGACACCCAAAAAGACGGGCAGCGGCATTGGCATCAGCATCGTGTAGATTATGTTCCTCCTCCCCCCCCTCTGAATGCAACGACGGCGAGAGCGAGCACGACGAGGGCGAGGACGGCAACGGCGACGACCACGACAAGGAAGGGAACGACGGCAACACCGACGACCCAAAACGAGAACGTGCTCGCGGACGCGCTCCAAAAGGCCTCCGGAGACCAAAGGAGGGCCGATGACGCGCAGAAGTCCTCGACCCTCAAAACCCGATCAACGTTGATGACGACAACGACGACGACAACGACACCAGCAACAACAACAACAGCAGCAGCAACAATAGCAACAATCGCAACACCAACAAAAGTAGCAACAATAACAGCAACAACACAAACAACCAACAACAACAACAATCACATCAACAACAGCAACAAGAACAACACATCAACAACAACAACAACAATAACAGTATCAACAACAACAACAACAGCACAAACAGCAACACCAACCGCAACAACAACAATACAACAACACCAATGGCAACAACAACAACAACAACCGCAACAACAACAACAACAACAACAATTACTAGCACGTGGGGACACTCCGTTCTCACCAGTGCCAGGGTTTTCATAGGAGGCGGGCAATACCCCCACTTTGTGGGGGGGCCGGTTCAAGCTCTACCAAATTTCCAAACGACTCTTCGCCACCACCCACACCCAGCTTCCCGCCCTATGACGTTCGGACACTTCACTTCGTGGCATGCGGACGACCGTGGCTACTATTCAGGGCCCCGCGGCCGACGACGACGGCGTGCGCGCGCGAAGAAAAAACGAATGTGTCCCGCATGGTATTATTTGACAGGGATGATGGCCCTGGCAGGTGCGCAACCGTTGTCGCAGAAGTTCGAAAAAGTTGCTCGCAAAAGCCCGTTTGACAGAAATGTTTAAAAAGTGTTGGGTTTCCTACGAATCCGCAAGAGCGCGCGGGATGAGATTTTGACAATTTTTTGTTGAAAAACCATTGGTTTTTTGATGTTTTTATGTTAAAATCGCTGCGAACACTAAGGTTTTGGAAGGATTTCGTCTTGCGCGCGCGAATGTCCACTTTACCTTATTTTTTGCAAGGGATTCTTGAAATTTGATTATATTAGAACAAGAAATGTCATTTTCTATTGTTTTTTGCAAGGGAAAGCGGATTACAACAAAACAACCGGATCCTGTACACACCCTCTTTTCTCAGGCTTCCTCACGAAAATGATGAAAATGTAGCTGCGGCCTAGGCGGCGCAGGGGGGGCGCGCACCAGGGGGCCCAACAATAATTATTCTTTAGAATAAATAATGTTCAACAACAACAACAAAAACAACAACGACGACAACAACAACAACAACAACAACAACAATAATTGTAAGACTGTTCGCTCCTATCTGCTCACGTGCTAATCAATACGTATATCCCAATACCTCGGTACCCGCCGTCGTCGTCTTCGATCGTGCCCCCGTGGGGGTGAATCTTCCTTACCTGCCACGTGTATTTAGTGCATCCCCTAAAAACAAGGGAAGAGAGGACGGGTGGAAGGGGGAGGGAGAAGAATGGAGCACGAGAGAAATTAGCTGGAGGGGGGCAAGGAGCAGAAAACAAGTGGTAGAACCAGACGGGCAGATCGGGTGGGCAGACCCATAGCGGGCAGGTCGGGAAGGCGGGCCCAGGCGACGAGGTCGAACAGGCGGGTTTTGCGAGGAAGTCTGGAGCGATAGCGCGATTCCTTAGTAAATCGTGAGAAAAGCCAGCGTGGGCCACGAAGGGCGTAAAATCCGAGGCCACAGAGGGCAGCGACGGGGCCGCTGAGGGCAGCACCGGGGCCACGAAGGGCAGCGAGGGAGCCACAAAGGGTGACAGAGGGGCCACGAAGGGCATGCATATGGGGCCACGACGGGCGCGAGCGAGCGGGGGCCACGAAGGGCATCCGCATACGGGGCCACAAAGGGCGACAGCGGGGCCACTAAGGGCAGCAAAGGGGCCACGAAGGACAGCGAGGGGGCCACGAAGGGCAACAGCGGGGCTACGAAGGGCATGCGTATGGGGCCACGACGGGCGCGAGCGAGCGGGGGCCACGAAGGGCATATAATACGGGGCCACAAAGGGCAGCGACGGAGCCACTGAGGACAGCAACGGGGCCACGAAGGGCAGCGAGCGAAGGCGACCGCGGAACCAGTACGGGCAGCGAGGGGCATCGAAGGCGGGCGAAGGGCAGCGAGCGGCGACTGCAGTCATTAACGGGCTGGTTGAGCGGGCAGGCCCCAACGGGCGGGTCGAGCGGGCGGGTCGTTGAAGCGTGAGTCCTGCTTGAACCGCCAGGCAATCTGTAGCGGGAGCGCGATTCCAGAGGGTCGAGGACCGACATCTGAATAAATCGTGGGGAAATATCAAGCGAAGCGGTTCGGTGGTAAGTTGCGAGGAAGTCCCAAGCGAGAACGCGATTCCGCAATACATTGTCAAGAAGTATTAAGCGGGAGCCGCGATTCGGTGGTACATTGCGAGGAAGTCCCAAGGGAGAGCGCGATTATGCAATAAATTGTGAGGAAGTACCGTTGTTGTTGTTATTGTTGTTGTCATTATTATTGTTGTAACCTGGGGGGCCAACGACACAGTTTGAGCCTCAAGACTTTCCCTGATAAAAAAGGGTGCGCGCCCCAGGAGGGGCACTTCAATTGGAAAAATACAATGTGCACCGGGCGGGGGGGATCACCAATAATTCTTATTCAGAAATGCGATTTCAATAACACCAACAGCACCACCAGTAACATCAGCAACAACAAGAACAGCAGCAGCAACAATACTACTACTTCTACTACTATTACTACTACTACTACTACTACTACTACTACTACTGCGACTACTACTACTACCACTACTACTACTACTACTACTACTACTACTACTACTACTACTACTACTACTACTACTACTACTACTACTACTACTACTACTACTAACAGCAGCAACAACAACAACAAACACAACAACAACAACAACAACAACAACAACAACAACAGCAACAACGACAGCAACGACGACAGCAACGACGACGACGACAACGACAACGACAACGACGACGACGACGACGACGACGGAGATTACGATGGCGACGACGACGACAACAACAACGGACGACGACGACGACGACGACGACGACGTCGCCGCAGCCGCCGCCGCCGGCCCGCCGAAGGGTATCCGAGGACGAGGACGACGGCGGCGGCAGCGGCGGCTGGCGGGCCCGCGGGTCTCCTCAGCTCGGGCGCTGCCGACGACGCGGCGGCGCCCAGGTCGCTGAGGCCTGCGTCTCGTCCTCGTCGTCGTCTGCGCGCTGCCGCTCCTGCTCCTCGCTCCTCCTTCTCCTGCTCATCCTGCTGATCCTGCGCCTCCTGCCTCCTCCCTCCTCACTTGCTCATCACTTCTTCCCCTCTCTCGTCTCCCTCCCTCTCCTAGCTCCCTGTCGCCGCCTTCGTTGCAAGCCTCGTCGTCGTCCCACTCCTCCTCCTCCTCCTCCTCCTCCTCCTCCTCCTCCTCCTCCTCCCTTCTCTCTCTCATCCTCAACATTCGCCGTCGTCCTACTCGTCGACCTCCTTATCTTCCCAATCGTCGCATCCCTCGACCTCGCCGTCGTCGCCGTCCTCCGGATCCTGCAATCTTGTCTTGTTTCCGATGCTCTTGCCGTTGTAGCCAGGGTGGGGAGAGTAATTCGAGCGGCAGCAAGGCCGAAGGGCTCACAAAACTGGACAGGTAGATTGCGCAACGATGATAAGCAATATGTCTTCGCGCCGACAGATCGACACAATCATGTACAGACAAGGCTGCAAGGCAGGGTGGGAAGTGAACCACAAGGCCGACACTGGACGAGTGCCAACACAATCCCAACAAGGAAAGTTGCGTACTCCCGCTGGCATGCCCCTGATACATGCAGACTGGACGTAAGTGCGGTCGTGGAAATCAAAAGGAACATCCTGATCCCCCTCCGATGCTTACCATTCTTCCCTCCCCTTACCTCCCCTTCCTTCCTCCCCCCTTCCTTTTCCCTTCCTTCCCTTCCATTGCCTCCCTGTCTCCCCTTCACTCCTTTCTACCCCCCTCCCCTCCCAGGGTCCCATTGCCTCCTCTTTCGCCAAGATTGCCGAGCGAGCATTCCCCCCTCCCCTCCGCTCGGCCGCCAACAAGAGAGTTTTAAGACCGCTGGTCGCATCACAGCAGCGACGTATCTCGCGAGTCGATTGGTGTGCTTTCCTCTCGAATCGGTTAGTACTGCCTGCTGAGCTGGATCACTTCGGATGATGGCCAGCGACTCGAGACCGCCGACTGTGTGAATCCAACAGACGCGAGCGACCCGAACCAAACATTTCCTCGAGTGAGGACTGATGGAACGACGCTCGGCTGTGCGCTCTCAACCCACTTCTTGGCGGTATGCATGGGTGAGGGGGGACGATACGGTGGAACTGGCTCAGTGAGGTTGAAACGTCGACCTGGAATCGGCGTTACATTGCCCATACATCGGCGAGGGGCCCCCCCGCACGTTCCTGAGCGGGGCGGGCGATCGCTCCCCGAACGGTGATGGGCAGGCGATCGGGTGTGGAGGCGTCCACCCTCAGCCTATTCCCCCCCCCTGACGTTGCCCCTGACCCTCCGCTTCCTAGCTTTCGGGCCATAACTCGGGCCTCCAGCGACCCGGAACGATTGCCGGCACCCCGGAACGCCCGCAACGAGGCGCAGCTGATGGAAGCCACCCTGGGCCTCAATGAAAAGGCAGGCAAAAACACTACAACTCCCGAAAACGATCGGACACTCCCCCCCCTTCCTTGCCGTCGCTCGGACGTCCCTTCCCCGTGCGTGTTTCGGTTTCGTGCGCGTTTTCTTCGCCAGATGATCCAGGATGCTCCTCGATGGCCGTCGCCACTTTCGGGGGCTGCTGGGGAGGTCAACACAGTGGGCAGAAAAAATGCACACGTCCGAGCGATGCCAAGCCTGCCGTTGCCCTGAGGTCCCCAGGGCGGGGGGCCCTGAGCGGCCGCCAGGCGGCTGCCCTGGTCCGCGTCGGCGAGGGAGCGCGCCAGTGCGGGCACAGCCCCCTCCGAGGACGCCCCTCGCCGGCGCGCGGGCGCCGCGCGCGCCGCGCGCTCGCCGGTCGGCGAGCCGCTCGCTGCTTGCCGCCGCCCTCGTCCTCGTCGTCGTCGTCGCTCGTCAGCCAGGCGGATCGTTCGATCGCTCGCCGTCGGCTCGCCGCTCGCCGCGCGCGGAGCGCCCCCTCCGTCGTTGTCGTTGCCGTCGTCGTGGCGTCGTCGCTCGTCCACGTCCTCGTCGTCGTCGCGCGTCGACCGAGTCGATCGCTCGATCGGCGCGGAGATGCGGGGGGCGCTGCTGCCATCCGCAGAGCGCCCTGTCGCACCCGCATCAACATAGCGCGGATCCGACAGGGCGGGCACACACACACACACACGAATCGCCGCACGCAGTAGCAGCGATGCCCCCAGCACAGGAGTCGCGCAGCGGTGCCAGCCTGAATCAAACAACCTGAGGCGCGCCAGCCGGATAAGAACTGAATCGACGAGACGAGCGTCTCGCGGCCGAGGTGGGCTCGGCTCTGGAGGCTTCATGGGTCGTCCTTGCCAGCGTCATGGGAACGGATGCACACGGCAACCGTTGACAGCGGGTGCCCACTCGACCCACCGCGATATGAGAGCCGATTCGGGGGACAGGGAGGCAATGCGCCCGGGACCAGGGACTCTGGCACACGTCTGCAGTCGCACATTCCTCGAGAAAGCCCTCGTGGGCCGCCGCATCGCTGTATACTGAGCAATACTTGTTTTTCGGTTGCACGCGCGAGTGCAAACTTGGCTCTCCCTGCTGACAAAGAGAACGGAACGGCCGTGTTCTTTCGCATCTGCTTAGCAGGGCGGGGAAGGCGGACCCCGGCGCTGGACGCCGTTGGTCATCGGAGACCCACGGGCCTGGCGGGCTCTGGACGGGGACCCGACCAGCAGGAGCCTGAAACCCGGGGGTGGCGCGACCACGCCCTGAATCCAAAATGCAGCCCAGCCAGCCCTACCCCACCCCTCCCCTGGCAGCACTCGTCCACTTCGAGCCCTCCCCCTCCTTCTCTTCGAGGATGGTGGGGCCGATGTCCCTGAGGACTGCCCTGCTCGTCGAGGGAACGCCTCGCAGCTGAGGAGCTCCGTGCGATGCGATGGGGGAAGCACATGGGAATAAACTCCAGACCGGACTTGGTCGTAAAAGTCACCCTCGGCCGACGTGCTCAGAGGCTCTCACCCTTACAGGAAGCAGCTGCGCCACCATACGACAGCGGCAGTGGTGCCTGATTTTTGCTCCCCCAGCCTGTCAGCAATCCGAGCCACACCGCTCCGGTGGGAGCACTGAGCCGTCCATTCGGGCTTTCAAGACGTCGAAAGCGGGCGGCCAATGGTGGGCGATGGTAGTCCCGTTCGCGGAAATGGGTCCTGGACCACGGGGCTCTCCCCCAGACCAGCTCTTCATCCTGAGCAGATCTTTGCCCACCCCTTGGCGGCACAGGAAGGACCCCGAAGACCACAGAACACCTCCGGGCCCCCTCTTCTGATGAACGAACACAGCACACGCCCATACCCATACGGTAGGTTCGTGCGGCATCGGCCCGCGCAAAGGTTTTCGACACCGCGTCGATCGTCCAACCTTGAATCGATCGCGGCCCCGATCGTTCAAGGTTGAATTCAGTCGGGTCCAGTGGCGTTAACGTGTACACCAGTGCTTCCGCGTCGTCGTAGAATTCAATCTTGAACACCTTCGCCGGCGGCGCCGGCGCGCCAACGCCGCACGAACCTACCGCAGAGGGGCCGGAGGGACCGAGGACTGGCCGTGGGTCTGGGCGCGAGGTGTCGGCCCAGATGGGGTTCCCGGTGGAGCGGTGAGCACCATCCGACAACACGCCGCCCTAGCCCCGTCCGTCCCCCCCACGTGGGCACGGGTGCGTGATGTTCGTTCAGCTTCTTCCTCGGCTACACGCAACAGGGACCATATAGGCAGGAGTGACCTCCAGTGCGCGGCTTCACGGCGGACGCGGGGTGGTCAGACACAGGCGCGCAGGCCGCTGCTGCCGCTTCGCGCTCGACGCTCGGGGGACACCGTTGGGCCCGCACCGAGGGTCACTCCGGCGGAGGCTCACTCCTACGCGCAGTCGACACAGCTCCCTCCGCCCCCCACTTGTGGGTGCATGGGCGCGCCAGGCTCGCTCAGCTTCTCTTCCGGGCGACCGGCAGGGCCCCAGACGAAGCGGTGCCCCAGGCCCGCGCCCGAGGCTCGAGCCCCGAGGCCCGAGCCCCGGGGCCCGAGCACCAGCCCGCGGCGGCCGCTGCAGGCCCGGGCCCCCGCTACCCCCCCCGGGCCAGCGGGAGCGCCTAGCTTCGCCAGCGCCTCCAGCGCCGCGGCGCGCGTGCCGGGGTCGTGGTGGAGGGCCAGCCGGGCCTGGGGCGCGATGGCCGAGGGGCGGAGGGCGGCCGCGTCGCCGCGGCGGGCCGACGGCTCCCGCGGGGGGCACCGGGCAAGGAGGCGACGGAGGCGCAGCACGGGGCACGGCCTGCTCGCTCTTCCGTCAGTGCCGTCCCGCCCCCGCCGCTCCACCTCGTCCTCCTGGCTCGCCCCCGCTTCCCTCACCTTACCGCTCACTCCTCGACCCCCTTTATCTCCTCCTCCTCCGCCTCCTCCTCTTCCTCCTCATCCTCCCCCTCCTCCCCCTACTCCTCCTCCTCCTCCTCCTCCTCCTCCTCCTCCTCCTGTTCCTCGTCCTCTCCGTCGTCCTCATCCTCCTCTCCATCAGCATCCTCCGTCTGCTGCTCTTGCTCAACCTCCCCTTTCCCCAGTGGGCCACGAAAACCGGCGACGATCGTGGTCGCGGCTGTAGTGGCGCGAGCACGAGGATGGAGAGCGGGCGCCCTCCCAGACGAGGAGACGGCATCCGTAACGCGGGCGATCCTGGCACTCATCAAGCAGAAGAGGGGAGTAATGCGCATCGTGCCGCCTTTCGGTCTTTGTGCTGTGGAACACACGGCCGATGACAGCCCACGACACACGGCTCTGCAACAATGGGCAGGGAGGACACGCAGGAGGGAGAAGGCAGTGAAGGCAGAGGAGGAGGAGCAGCAGGAGGAGGACAAGGGGGCAGCGGGTGCGAGAGTGAGGAGAGCGAGCGCAGGCGAACGTAACTCATCATGAAGAGGACGAGGGAGGAGAATGGAGAAGGATGACCCTGCCGTCGCTCGGACGTCCATTCCCAGTACATCTTTCGGTCCCGTGCGTTTGTCCCGCGAGATGTGTTTTTTGTCCCTCGAAGGTTCTCGCCGAGATAAAATGCACACGCCCGAGCAATGCCAAGTGAAGAGGCGACGGGCAAGGCGTCTCCGTCTGCTCCCCGATCGTCTGGGCGCCCGCCCTCAATCCTTCTCCCACTGGTCTTGTCAATTCCACTATCTGCGCGCATCCCGCCAACAGGGCGACTTGACCGACAGCACGCCTTTGAAGGTCAGCCAGATCCTGTTTCTGAGTGTCTGGATGCCCGACGCCCGGTCTGCGCTCGCAGAGGGCCTTGGATTGCAGTGGACACAGGGTCCGATAGTTTCGCTCCTTCGCTCCTCCCCCTCCCACTCCTCCCCCTCCTCCTCCTCCTCCTCCTCCTCCTCCTCCTCCTCCTTCACCATCGTCCTCCTCCAAGTCCTGGGCCAAGGATCGGCCCACCTGGAACAGGCGTGCGCTGATGGTCTAACCATCGTCGGCGTCAACCGCCTCCTCCTCCTCCTCCTCCTCATCATCATCATCAGCTTCATGATCATCAGAATCAGAATCATCATCATCATCATCATCATCATCATCATCATCATCATCATCATCATCATCATCATCATCACCATCACCATCATCATCATCATCATCATCATCATCATCATCATCGTCATCGTCATCGTCATCGTTATCGTCATCGTCATCGTCATCGTCATCGTCATCGTCATCGTCAACGTCATCGTCATCGTCATCATCTTCTTCTCCTAACGACGACCACCACGTTCGATTCCGTTCGGCGACGACGTTCGATGACGACATTCGACGACGGATAGGCGACCAGCCTCAGCCCGAGAAGCTGTGCTTCCCCTTAACCGCTGGCGAGATGACGAGCACTCAAAGTGCCCCTAACTCTTTGGGGGCGGACCAGAGTTTGGGGGCCCAAGACATCAGGCATAGAGGGTCCTTCCTTTCTGCAGATGTACCAAGCCTGACCACCCAGATCGGTTGTTGCGAAGGCGGGGACCTAAGCGAGGCCACGACTTCATTGTGCGATTGGGAAACCAACATTCACCGATACTGCTAACTCCCTGGACCTCTCCCAGGGTGCGCTCTGACCAGAATTTCGAGGCGCATCATGCGGTGGCGACGAGGGGCCCCCAGGAGGCCCCCCAAAGAAGGGAAACGAAGGAAACGTAGCGGCATGGGCACCTTTTACCCCCTCGGAGTTCTTAGGGTTGGGGGTCCTTTAAGCTTTCGTTCTCGACGACGAGAGCTCGCTTTATCCACGACCTCTCGAGACGCGAGCCGAGGCCGATGCGGGCGCTCCGCCGGGCGCGCGCGGCAGGCTCGCGCCGCGGCGGAGCCGGCGTGGGCTCCCGACGCCGCGGGTGGCCGTTCAGCCTGGAAAGACCGCGGCTTCCCGAGACTTCACGGGCCCGGCGGTACCCGCCAGGCGGAAGAGGTGGGCGGAAGCATGAAGCAGGAAGGCCGAAGGAGTAGAGTCAACCCGTGTAGTAAGGATGTGCGGCGAGGATGCAAGGGCCTTGAAAGGCCACGTCGGCACTTCGCGAGCAGGCGCCAGCGAAAGCGGCCAAGGATGGACCGAATAGGAAGGATGCAAGGGTAACCCCTTAGAAAGTTGCTCATCCTTACTATGCGGGTTGACTGTAGATTGGGTTCGGGCCTGCCGAGAGAACGGCAAAACACGGGAAACACTGACCGTGCCTGAAGTAGAAAGGCGCTTCAAGTAGATTGGGATCTGGATATCCAAAGATAATACCTACGTCCAACGAGCAGCGTGCAATCGGTGGTTCAAAGATGATGGGGTGATGGAGTCCTAAGGACGAGGTGCCTCGAACAACGTAAGTCCACCCTTAGAACCCCTAATTGTCCTCAGGGCCCCACCCCTCAGCACCCCATCTGTGGACCACCGGAATAAGACAGCGAGAACCCCGGGAATCCAGGGCAGTGGCACGCCCGCGAACGCCGAAGCAGTGGGCCGACGCAGTCTCCGCTCCTCGCTCTCCCCAGGGCGGCACCTTCAGAGGCCAGGCTTGCAACGTCCTGGCCCTGGTTCACGGGGCCCTGCGTCAGACAGCGCGGGTCGTTCGGCACGGGGCGGTCAGCGTGACGGCCGCGGGCCCCGTCGGCAACGGGCCCTGGACCCCGGGGCCCTGCCCCGGCACGAGCTGCTCAGCCTGCGCAGTCTTCGGACGCTCCCGGGGGGCCCGCGGAGGGCACTCGAGGGCCCGAGCATGGCACGAAACACCTCAGCACCCGTTTCCCTCAGGACCCAGGACCCCTGCCCCGAGCACGAGTTACTCATCCTGTATAATATTCTGACGCTCCCAGGGGGCCCGTGGAGAGCACCCAGGGCCCGAGAGCGGCGAAAAGCCTCAGGACCCGCTTCCCTCAGGACGCGTTTCCCCCACGGAGAGGCTTCCCCCCGCCCGCGGGGAGCGCCGGGCTCGTAAACGAGCCTCGTCGTCGTCGTCGTCGTCGTCGTCGTCGTCGTCGTCGTCGTCGTCGTCGTCGTCGTTCGACACCATGATGGGCCTTTTTTCCACCACCACCACCACCATTAAGTAGGAGGGGGAGGGGGTCCACCTCCTCCTCCTCCTCCTCCTCCTCCTCCTCCTCCTCCTCCTCATGATCCTTCTCCTCCTCCTCCTCCTCCTCTTTGTCCTCCTTCTCCTCCTCCTCCTCTTTGTCCTCCTCCTCCTCATGATCCTTCTCCTCCTCCTCCTCATGATCCTTCTCCTCCTCCTCCTCCTCCTCCTCCTCCTCCTCCTTCCCCCCTCCAGCTCATGGTGGTGGTGGAAAACAGGCCCATCATACCAGGCGGCGCTCAGCCCTGACCGCCCGCGCCGGAAACGCCGCCGCGGCAGCGCGGCCCCGACCCCATGCAGCAGGGTGCGGCCGGCCCGTGCGGGGCGGCGGCGGGGCTGCCAGCTCCCCGCAGGCGGCCGCGGCGTGCGGACCGCCGTCCAGGCCCGACAGCGCCTCAGCGACCCAGCTGCGGAGGTCCTCGGGCTTCGGAGGCCCCCGCGAGCGCCCGAAGGCGAAGGGGGGGGGAAGATGGGGGACCGACGGGAGGGAATGGAGGAAGGAGGCAGAGGAGGAGAAGGAAGGAGGGAAACAGGACTGGAGGAAGGAGAGAGGAGGAGGAGAAGGAAGAGGAGGAAGAGATGGAGAAGGAGGAAATGATGGAGAAGGAGGAAAAGGAAGAGGAGGAGGAGGAGGAGGAGGAGAAGGAAGAGAAGGAATAATAATAATAATGATAATACTGATCTTATTAATAAGGTAATATAATAACAAATACTAATACTGATGATGATGACGATGATGATGATGATGATGATGCTGATGACGATGATGATGATGATGATGATACTACTACTACTAATACTAATAATGGTAATACAAATAATGCTACTACGAATGCTCATACTAATACTAATGATATTAATAACAACACAAACACTAAGACTAGTACTAATACAGATACAAATAATACTGAGCATAAAAATGATACCACTAATAATAATATTAATGGTGACACACCTAATAATAATAATAAGAATAAGATTAATAATAATGATAATAATTGTAATGATGGTACTAATAATATTAATAATACTGATACTACGAATAATAATAATAAGTGACCGATCCTCTTACACGGGGCCAGGGGGCAGCTTTTTCTCAGGAGGAGGTGAGGCAGCCGGGCTCTTGCGAGGCAGAGGCGGAGCTAAGGGTGCCGAGCCTCCAGTACCCCTGAGGGCAGAGAAAAAAGAAAAGAAGGCGAAAGCGGGGTGGGTCCGCAGCAGGGCGGGAGCTTGAGCCGCAGTGTCATGCGGCCCCGCTCACCCCTCTCCCACTTACTGTATTTAATTCAGACAGTGACCGATCCTCTTACACGGGGCCAGGGGGCAGCTTTTTCTCAGGAGGAGGTGAGGCAGCCGGGCTCTTGCGAGGCAGAGGCGGAGCTAAGGGTGCCGAGCCTCCAGTGCCCGAACCCGACTGGTCAACTGGCCGTAGGCCGCACACCATATATTTCATTCATTCTGATCTGTTTGTTGTTGTTTATCACATCCATAAGGTATCGTCCCATCGTATTGCAAAATTGTGTAGGGTAGGCGGCAGCGATAGCAGTCCAATGTATACCTTCTGGCGTCTTCCCTGTCAGTTCGATGTGCGGCTTGTGGGACCTTGAGCATATATTCCCACGAGGACAGCAAAGGCGCTCGATAGCTGTACATCTGCCGGCATTCCACAGCGCAATCCGTGTGCGCTTTTTCCACCTAGCACTGAACTGGCACATGTCACAAACGTGGACCACACAAGATTCGTCGCATAGTAGTCTACACAGGTGTGGTGCACGCCACATCATAGATGTACTTGGGTTTTCCAAAGCTATCGGTGTATTATGACGATTTGCAAGGCGTATGATCTGGGTAGAGAATAGGAAGGTGTCGTTACCAATATTTAGCTTAGCCTGATTAGCAGCACTGAGCCCAGGAAGTCCGAGAATGTGTTCCGAGTCCCGAATAGCAGGCCGTCTAGCAATAGACCAGGTAGTACATGGGGTCCCTAACCAGATGCCAACGATGACGTTCCCGCGGATCCAACCTTTGATGACGGCCTGGAAGGCCGGGCACAGATGGCCCTGGAAAGCGTGGCTTTTGACATCCAGGCTGAGAACGGCGAACCCCTGGGACTTCAAAAACTTGCCGATACCCCCGTTGCCCGCGAAAAGCTCCAAGAAGATAACCCTCCGGTTGGTGGTGGCCTTCCTCAGCGCCCGAGTCAGGAGGTGCTGAAGGTACCGCTTCACCCGTTGGGAGTGGCTTATCTTGGGGCCACTGCAGGAATCTGAGATACTAGCCGTGCTGGAAGTCTGCTCACTGCTTGCTTGACACTGGATTCGAGGGCTGCAGGCACTCGCAGCTGGGAGGGCCGATTGCCGACCCCGAACTTGATGGCCTCGGCGAAGCTCTGGTGCACCGTGCTGCCGAAGTCGAAGACGGACGGACAGATTTGGTTGATCACGCGCAACAGCTTGGTCTCTTTCCCGTACCTCTTCAAAGAGGCGACTGTCGTCCAGCGACCCCGGCGCATGACTTGTTCTGGCGTTCGCTTTCTGGCCGCCAAGTCCTCCGACGCCCCTCCGTGTCGTAGCTGATGCGGATGTGGGTCGAAGGGTCCTAGCCCCAGACCCTCGGCCACTGCGATGAACACGTCCCTGTAGAGCTCGCTGCTGAACCCCCACAGGCTCCCGTCTGGCAGGCTGGCCTGCTTCAGGCCGAGAAGGGGCCCCCACAACCACTGCTCGTCGATCGTCACAGCGTCGTCGAAGGCCCCCGTCTTGCCGGGGATGCCGAGGGAGGTCTCGTGCAGCACTAAGCCCATCATGGTGTAGCCAGCACCTGCCACTGGGACCGCGGCGACGATGCTCTTGCCGAGGAGCGCCATCGCCTCGATAGGCCGTAGGTAGCAGACGTGCGATACCGCAACCATGATCGCCATCCGCGGGAGCCCGAGCATGATCATGCCTCCCGCGATCGCCGACGCCGCCAGGCGCGGCAGGGGGAGCCGGGACTGCGCGGGCGTCCGCCGACACCAGCTGACTGCGCACCGGGTCGCCCTCGGCAGCAGGGCCCGCGTCTTCTTGTGCAACTCGGGGAAGACATAGCCCAGCGCTGCCAAGAGCCGGCTCGCCTCGTCGGCCCCGTGGCCCTCCATGTACATGGAGTTCAGATACTCCACCACCACGTCGTCCAGCCCGGGCGCGCCCACCCAGCTCACCTTCGCCACACGACAGAAGTCGAGGAAGAGGCGGAGGGTCCGCTGGTACAACAGCACGGTCCCCGGCTTCACGGCAATCTTCTCCAGCACGCTCATCCAAGGGAAGCGGTCGCAGGCGTCCACCTTCGAGGCCGCCTCCCGAGCCCGGGATGCTCGTTCCTTCTTGAGCTTCCCGGCCTTCTTGCTGAGCTGCTGCTGGCGCGTGCCGCGGGCCACGGACTTGCCCATCACCGGGCCCCCGCCCTACAGGCACGTTCCCGCCACCTATGTCGGTGTGGCAGGGGTGTGCCTGTGGGGGGCCCTCGCGGTATCTGGCTTCGGCAGGTGCACGCGGAGGCTGGTGTGGATGCGGTGGTGCAGGGGTCGGAGCCTGTTGTTGGACCTCGAGCCAGGAGGGGCCTGCAAAGAAGCCACACTGCCCGCGGGACCCCTTGTCAGCCGGATTCCTCTCGGACGGGACCCACCGAACGTAGAGGCGACTCCCCGTTGCGAGTGAAAGGGCAGCGACCCGTCGGAGAGGTCGGAGGAGATAGGAGGACCGAGCGCGGCCTTTGACCGCCCCAAGACAGAGCGGTAGGTTGTCGACCAACGCCAGAACCCGTGAACCTCGGGCAACCCCAGATCGGAGGATATGTCGGTATCCCAGGACCAAGGCGTCGCCCTCGAGCTCGAGAATGTTAGACCTATGCCTTACTCTGGTAGCTATAACAGTATTCCAATGTTTGTCGTCCATAAAATCTTTGCTAATCTCGTCGAAACTTACAGCTAGGTCCTCAATGTTAGTCACCCTTGTTGCATCGGCCCGGCTAGAACTGAAACCGCTCCCAGAACCAGCCTCCAGAGGTGTCGTGGATCCCATCCCAGAAGAACTGAACACAGGCCCCCCAACCACGTCACAAGCCACAGCCCCAGTCCCAATCCCAGAAGAACTGAGCGTAGACCCAACCTCCCTGTCACACTTCATACCTCCCCCTTCGGGTCCCAGTACAGTAGGAGCAGGGTGTCGGTCAGGGGCGAAGCTGGAGTCGGAGAGGGCGTGATTCCTAGCGTCGATGCACTGCTCAACCTTGAAGCGCCATTTTTCGGATACTCGGCCAATGGCACCAATCTCGGCTGGGTCAGCCCGCCGTGTACACACGCCCAGCCCGAACGGTGAGGCGTCCGTGGCGAGCACAGTGGGATGCCAGGGCGCCGTCCAGCGCACACACAGGAGTGGCAGAAGACACCTGATGGTCCAAAGTTCCCGGCGTACCGCAGGCCAGAGCTCCGCGACCCCAGGACCGTTTTTGGTGACATACGCATAGCTGCACTGTAAAATACTGTAAACTTCACGTCTGATCAGGCCCGCCCAGGTGATGTGTCCCAAGAGAGCCCTGAGTAGGTGCCCGCTGCAACGCCTCCGTCGCAGTAGCGCCTCGATTGCAAACCTCAGACGCCACAGATTACGATGCTTTATTGAAAGTCGGTCCCCGCCTGACAGTTGGAGACCAAGAAAAACAACATCCTGGGCCCCGGACTCCACCTCATGCAAAATAGGCCCCTTCTCCTCCAGAGACCTCCTGATGTCTCCCAATACCACCTCGGTAGCCGATTTGTCCCTCCCCACCGTCAGCACATTGTCTACATACCCCGCAACGGCAACGTCCCCCCCTTTCACTTCCACAGCCGGTAAACCGTCCAGGATGACCAGGGAAGTAGGAACCTTAGACGACGAAATAGTATGACGAACGACGCTCTGACATAATAAGAGTGACCAAGACCAGCCCATGGGGAGAACACAGAGCCTGGGGGCGATGACTGTATCTGGGTGGAGTCGTTGCCCGTTCAAAAACTTCAATCCCAGGTGTCGGGCGGCCGTGTATGGCAGCCGAAAGTAGCGCCTGAGAAACGGTGGCAAGCCCATCCTGTAAAAAGCTGCGTTGATATCGCCCGCTGCAACGAAGACCGGGCCGTCGGTCTCGACCTGGCTGAGAGAAGATGCAGTAGGTAGTCGGGTGGAGAGTGGGTCCTTGAACGAGTAGTTACACACCCTGGTATCGAATATAACCCGAATTTTACCGTCCTTTTTGGCCACGAAAAACACGCCGATAGTGTGGGTATCCTTTGGGGCCAGGGTCCATTCGAGCATCCCGCGGTCGCACAAGAGGCGGAGGAAGTCGGAGTAGGCGGTGGGGTTGTTCCTCAAGAAGGGGTCCACGTAGGGTTCCGCGGGACCCAGT